ACCATGTCGGAGGTTCGACTTGACCGAATGAGTTCAGTCAGTTTGTCGTGAAAAATGTCTTTTTATGCATCAGAACTGCAGTTGGTCGGTGCATACATACATCATGATGATGATACGCTGAAATGCTGAACAAACTTATTTTGGTGTTGCTTCTCTTTCGGATACTGATTCAACCTTGGAGTGGCACCGCACATAAACGACTGCTGTCCGGGATTTAATTGATATGAGGCTTCGGCCCTGTTACTGACTACAATACGTGATCCGTGCTAACCTACTGAACGGGGATCGTCTTCGCCCGATGTGCAAAGGACGTACATCAAGGACGAATCTGGCGCACCTAAGTGGCTTATAGTGGTAGGATCCTGAATTCGAATCTCCGATATGCAACAAACATCGACCCCCAAACGTTCTATTGTACGCACTAGACAAGTTTATTGATCTGTCTGCATCGGAATCCTCACGTTGAACGCCCCCCAAATTCAGTAATTGACGAGGCTTCAGAATCTGCAATCTATGTCATGTTAAACTACTTGTAGTGCTATTCGGCAACGACATCTGGTTGGCGACAACAAATTTTCTGGTTGAACTGTTACATATCAGAAGAACGGGAAAAGAAAGAGGTCTGTGTACGGAAGACAAAGAATTGGACAAAAGTTGGGATGTCTGAGCAGCATTCCATTTATCATTACCCACGCGCACGACACCCTGGACAGCGCAGTCCTGATCATCTTGTGCGATGATCGATGCAATATGGAATTGTGGTTCGTTTTCTATCGTCTCTATCTTTCTCTTTCACAGTCCTTGTGAAAATGTTTGCTGAATAAAGCCTGAGTTCTGACTCGATCTTTGCACCATCATAATCGATTCATTGTGTGGGTATTCATCGTATCTTTTAACCTATTGAGATGAGTACTTGTATATTTTTAGTCGATTAAGAGTATGCGGTTAGATAAGCAGATCGTTTGCCAGGATTTGTTTGTGCTTGGTTCTAACTATCATGCGTGAATGAGATGAACAAAGCTTTATAAACAGGTCCCTCGTTTATTTATCTGGCTGTCTAATTGTTTGTAGCTTCATCACGATGGGCCTCCTTTTCTAGTGATATCTGGATACCAGACTGACTGCTAGGGTCAAGTCACGAATTCCGTAACTGAAGTATTCTGCAGAATAAACAGATTGCCTGCACGATTTCACCATCCAGCCCCACTTTTGAATAATATGACTTCAACTTTTGTGTACACTCATTTTCGAAGTACAGCAGTAGTCCATAAAGCGGTAGCGTACTGGCTAAGGTTATCAGTACAGCGATCCAACACTCGCGAGTTTGAATCCCGTCAATCGTCTCCAAAGTAGCACCAACTTTATATGAATGCGATCCTTGATTATCAGATGTATCGCTTTTGTACCACAAAACACCCGCGGTGTTAGTTACACAGACTCATATGGTTATGTGGTAATCTTTTTCTCTCCTTCTTGGTCTTTGTCTGTAGATTCGCACAAAATGGTTCGGCCGAACAGTGATCCGATCATGTGCTCGTCTGAGTTACGAAGACGCACAGGTTTGTTGTCCTTTTCCTTCAAACCATTCTCATCCATTACTTATCATTTGCCGTAATTCTTTTTATCATATCGTTCGCTTTCATGATTTGCGGAGCGAGAATGAGTTTACCTCGGGGAAAACAATAAAACACCGACTCAGCTTCAGTGATATCCGATGGGTGGCGTAAACAACTAGCGTCTGGGATTATTCGGGACTGAGAGGAAGAATTAAGCACCCATTTAGAAAAACACCGATTCTACCTCATCGGTTGTTGGTAGTAGTTCAAGTGGTCCGGAACGACTTGTGCTGGCGTATTGTCTTCGATTTTCGAATACCGCTATCTCTATCAGTATCACCACTACAACGTCCCGCGACATTCAATTATTCTTCAAATAACTTTGTCATTGCTTACCCGGTCTTCCCATCAAATTTGTCCATTGTATCGTAGATGGATGTGTTTGAACACCGATAGTCTACTTTCGACTTTTCCTCTTAGTTTCCATGTTTGAACATCACCTAACAGCACGGACCGGACTACTGCAGCATACAGTCGCCCTTTAAGGTCATGTGTTTTGGAAATAGCAGTAGCAGTAGTTGTAGTAGTAGATTCACTTTTCATTTAATAATGTGCTCTAAAAACTGGTGTACGGTGCGTAACATCAGTGAGTTGCCCACTCAGCCATAGGGTAGCTGATTAGGCTATTAAGTATTCTGTATTCGCGCTGTACAGTGAACTGATATTCACCCGTTCAGTACAAACTGCTATCATCGCTCATGTTCTAACTAGTCTCCACAGTTGTTTTTAATATATTTGAAACGTTTTCCCACGCAAACACTTTTCAGTCTATGTTTCCTGCTGCCCCTCCGCTCCTCATACTTTGGCTAGTATATGATTGATCATCCGGATGCATGTGACCCCGAATGCGCGCCAAGTGTCGAAGCTCCACACACAGTGAAATCGGTTTCGAATATGGTGCTTATGCTACATGAGGTGAGTGTTGCTCCAGGTGTTTTCATTGGCTCGTGTGATTTCCCACTCTGGTTTGTCCTTGCGAACTTATCGTTCATCCGAAATCTGTCTTTTGCCATCCCCACGTCTAATATGCCTTGTTTGTACACAGTATGATACCGTTATCCATATAGTAAGAGCAGTCAACGACTGCTATCCCATCTTATGACCGCATCTGACTGTAAAACTCGATCTAATCGCCGGGGATATCGTCCATGGAATTAGTTTCTTCAACAGTTGCGTTTAATTATTCCAACTGTGATAGTTGGAACAAGCACTTTAATCAGACCCCTTGGTATACAGTAGGACACTCGTCCATAGGGCCAAACACAAACTCGGGCTTCATAATTATTTCTTGTTCACTAGACCGAAGAACAAACATCCGTGCGAACAAGAACACAACTCAATAATGGTGATTATTGTTGCTGGCGTATTCATTAATCATTGTTCAAAAAATATCATCTTTTCAACGCACCTTGACGGCTTTATTTTTTCTCTCTTCTCCAATAAGACGGAAGGAGAAAGCAAACTTTATGGATATTTCACAGCAGTTATTTGTCTTCCATTTTTAACAATTTCGATTCAGATACTTTTGGAATATAACAATAATAATAATAATGTGCTAAAAATTTTATTCGATGTAAAGGAAGCAACTTTAACAAGTGTAGCACACCGTGCCCAAGACCGAAGCAATAAGAGTGATGCGTCTGGCCTTTTCTCAAGCTAGTTATCTGTCTGTCCGCAAGTTGTTATTAAAGTCGTTGATCGCAGGCTATTCCGTTGTTTGAGACACGAAAAGTCTAGTTTAATCCATCGGGATCACTAAGAGTTTTCATGTATCGTGTAAAGTTGACGATCACCATTACCAGAGTTCACGAATTTTATTTGCTTCTGTCAACAAGATTTTGCAAGCCTTCCTGATCGTGAATGACCAATTTTTCCTGTGAGTATTCGGAAATCAACCTTTTGCTACTCCCAGTAATGTAACACAGTATCTAGCCCGGATTCTACATTGAACTAGGTAGAGTTTTCTGTATGCTTTCCACGACCACTTTTAGTAACCGGAAGTAGGAGCTCATCAACCCCTAAGAAAAATTCTGGTTATTTGGATTCAAGGGCACTCAATTTGAGATCAGAACTGACCATTTTAGGGATTCAAAATCGTTTGATTTACTATCTGAATCATATGATATTGTTTTGCGTCTGGATCTTCATGATTATTTTTTCACTCTTTCCGTTTACGCAATCGGTATCCTTCATACTCTCTTTTCCCGCCACATTGGTTAGTTGGCTACACATCGCAGAAAGCGCCGCTTTGCCGGTGGAAGTTTGCGTCTGGATACCGTCAAATTACGATTTACTCTGGATGACGATAATCAGCATCCGGTCGGAGTTAATCCTTATATACATATGCCAAGTAATTGGCTTGTTGAGGAATGGATGCTGGCTGCCAACGAAGCCGTTGCTGTTCATTTGGCTCAGAACTTACCTCAGACTGCTTTTCTCCGACGTCATCCGGCGCCCTCACTGAAACAATTAAACGACGTTGCTACCCTCCTAGAATCAGTCGGTATTTCAGTGGATACAGGAACAGCTGGGTGCATTCAGGTTAGTTGGGATCAATCCATTCTATACGGAGGAAATGCATAACCATCCATTTTGTGTACTCGCTTTTATTCGCTTCGTTTTTCTAATGTAATATGGGGAATTCGTCCTGTATAGAACAAAGGAAGCGTGAACTGAAAAGCTAGGAAGCACTAGACAGTCGTTTCTATCTTTTGTGGGTCTCATCAGCAGTGCGATCCCCAGTTGGGTCGATGGATGATGAGATTGAATCAGGTCGAAATAGCTATACGGTGCTTCTTAACCTTTCAGTTCACGCTTCGTCTGCTATATACGCGACGAATTTCTATGAAATTGAACCAAATCCTCTATTACTCTCATGCAATATTCCTCTGATAGTTTCTGACAGGTTCACGTTACAGTGTTCAAAACTATCAAACGGGTGCAATTACGTTCTTGGTCACTTTACCTGCACTTATGTTTCGAATTCCTGATAATTCTCTATCTCTCATTCACCGATTAAGTGTTCGTTGCTTTACTTTCATGATGTGATGTAGCGTTTTGCGGTAGTTCCACCGATTCTCAATCCAAATCTCTTGCGGCTGGAGCAAGATACCACAGAAAACTGTCTTGGGCAGGGTCTTATAGTGAACTAATTCCAAGGAATTCTGATCCCCTCTAAAGTGAAATGAACATTGTGTTCACATCCAAGCATGGCTGTACCTGTCACTAAAAGCAATCCGTTTTACTCGTCTGCTAACGCCTGAGAAATAACATGCAACTGGTCTAACGCAGAAATTTCCAGTAAACAAAATGCATACCAGGTACATGCATCAATCACCTCAATCGTTCGAGTTACAGGGTAGCTACTCTCAGCATCGATATAGTCTTATTCTGTTGGCTATTGACTGCTGCGTGCAGTCGAAAACAATTCCCATGAATCAGAAATCGATACAGCTTTATGATCGCCACTATTTCCCATGTTAATAGCGTCTATGTTGTCATTCTCTGAATAGGAATGTCAGACATATTCGTTTGGGGATTCTAATAACCGTGTAATCATCTCGTTGCTTGAAGAAATTATTTCCGTTCCTATTTTTCTCATACATGAATCTACTCGACCGTGAGCTATATTTCGCTTCTCAATTTTGTAGTATCTCATTTGATTCAGGCTATACTTAACAGCTTCCCCACTTGATGATCGATGCGCTGATAACCTGCTTCCGTCGTTTGGGATCACTCCTTGAATATGGAAGCTATTCAACATTAGTTTTGTTCATTTCTATAATTCGGTTTTTTCGTCCACCATTCGCATTATTTGCCCTCAATGTTTCAGGCGTCCATTTGCCGCATAGCCGGTCGCCCGTTGGAAACGGGGTTCCGGTACTCTCCGCAATTGGCTGCTCTCTGTGCGGAAATGTCGACCGAACCTTTTCTACTCGAATTGGAAGTCGCCGATCGATTGGAGACTATGAACCTAAATGATTCGCATTCAGACCAAAACATCCCGAACAATCCCACTTACGAAGAGCGAAAGGACAAATTAAAATTCGAAGCACGCCTTCTACTCCTGGTCTCTCTGCTCACCAAGAGCATGAATTTGGCGGAATACTTCTGTCTTGGCAAACTACCGAATGGTATCACGACCAACCATTATGCACTGAATATGCAGTACTATACACATTTTACTTCACCCATACGCCGCTATGCGGATGTCTTGGTGCATCGACAGTTAGCTGCGGTATTGGCTCGTACAGCTCTGCAGTCTGGTGATCGTAAGTGCATTTTTGTTAGACTACAGGTTCTTCCTCATTGCATTCATCAAGTCGAATGCAAAACACTAATAAGATGGATAATCCAGTGGACCCGGGAGCGCACTTTTGGTAGTAGAAAACTGTTTGCCCTTGCAGATTTCTAGGGTCAAAAATGATGATTCGTGAATTCCATCTGCCTCTGTAAATTGAGGGGTTGGTCGAATATAAATAGATCATAGTTATCGGTGTGGTCTCGTAGCTGCACAAATGTGTAGGCGGCTTTCATATGTGGGATCAAACCCACTAAGTTCCCCAATATTTTTCATAATTCAAGCTAGAGTTATCATTTAATATTGATTTGAACTGACTATCATTCGGATTTCACCTTCACGGACAATCTACGTTTCATCCTTTCAACGGTACTCTCGGAAGCACTAAACTCGGGTTTCGCTCTCATTAGATCTCATTAGTAGTACATATCCACCGCCTTGGACTCCTGACCCATCGCATAGAAGGCCTATACCAGGGCTGAACCGAATTACCAATTCATATTTGTTCAGGTTTCGTCTTCAGTGATAGCCAGTCAGTTCATCTGGGTTCTACAGGAAGGTGAATTCCGAAGGATAGCCAGTTAAAATCAATGTCAATTTTCCCACACCACTACTTACAATTAACTGTGATTTGAATGCGAATTGTCATTGAATCACAGTTTTCAGCACCATTCAGTTAAACTAATCATGACCTCCATGATATACCTAACGATAACCACACAAGGTGAAAAGGACAGACTGTGTAAAAAAATACATGTTGCATTGCCTTCGTTGTTCTCTTTTCTTTTACCTGTTTCCCCCACTATCCGAAAATCTTGAATCTGGTCTGCTGCATCCGAATGCACGAATAACAAAAAACTTGAAAGGTTCTTGAAATAATAGTGTCTGTTTAGCGAAATGTATGTTGTAATTGATTTGTTCATTTATTCCTCAGTCGCTCTCTATTTCTCTTTTCTGAGTTGTGTGACTAACACTTCCTAATTAGACACAATCCCATCGCGTTGCACCAGGGGTTGCTATTTGAACAAGTGGAATTGATCGATTATTCTCTTCTCATGTTTTACTCCATCGACTCGTCAAAAGTAAACAATTATGTGTGTTCAGTTTCAGTTTTACAACCATTAACCATGCACTTTCGTGCGCGGGTTTTAGTTGCTGTCTTTTGGTTGCCCATTGGGATAAAATAGCGAAATGAAGATTGGAATGTCGGAGCAAATTCAAGCGGAAGATCGGTAATACATATAGAGTGAGATGGGGAATACATATAGAGTGTGTTAGGAAAATAACGAATGGATACACGAGCGCCACTGTTTGC